AGACCAGTCACCCTGCACAAGAACAGAGCAGCAGTGAGCTGTCTCTATTACAGGAAGCTCCAAGTCTCACACTGGATTACTGCACAGATCTGGAACAAATACACAAAGCTCACCCAGATTCCAGTAAGAACACACATGACTAGATTTGCCTATCCCGGAGTTCAGCTTAATTGATTTGGCAAAAAAATTGTTTGCTTAACAAAAATATATATACAGCCGCAGCTACCGAAAAGTACATCTTGGGTTCACGTAAACTTTAATGTATCCAGACTGTTGTGGGTTTATGGAAGTAAGCTGCATTTTTCCATAAACTACTACCGAAATGACTTATTTTTTTCATGGTACATTTGTGACACTTGGAAACTCGGAGCACATGCTATAAAATCTCTCCTTTCCCGGTACAGGGAGCTGAGATATCTCTGCTCAGCTGTCTGCTTAAGAATTCCTATTCCCCATCTGTGCTTAGAGTCAGTATGATGAGTTCAGCAAGAATAGGAGGGTAACCTGGAGGGCAGAGGACTGTATTGTGTCATGTGAGAGGGATCACCCCTCGTCTGTCATTAGGCGACATGCGATCCTTGTGTTACTTGAAGATAGGTGGCTGCTGTTTCTGGCAGTTGGCAGGAGATCCATTTCAGGCCGGTCTTCTACGGAGGAGCTGCAGTACATAGGAAACTGTCCTAAGGATGTGATTGTATTGTGAGCTGCACTGACTCCTCAAGCCTTATCCTGATACTTTCCCTTCTCATTTCCTTAGCTCATTACAAACATTCTGGCATCAGACAAGAGAAGTGTTTATTTTACCACAGCAGCCAATCACATCCCAGTGAAAAGAAGCATCTGATTGGTTGCAGTTCGTAACATATATTCTAGATTTTATCCTGGGATCCACTTCTCCTCAAAGCATATCTCTTGGCAGCTAAATTCACCGTTGACGTGCATATAGATGAACTGTTCCCTGGGTGCATTATGTACAGTGTTGCATAACATGTTGCCGCTGTATAAATACCTGCAGTAAATTGGACGCCCAGTTGCTTTCATTTATTTTTTACATCTATAACTGCTGCTGCTCTTCTTTGTTTTTTCCAAGAAAAAAAAGAAGTGCTTTGTGAATCCCTTGTCATGCACTAAATGTTTTTTTTTTTTGGAAACACAAATGTTGTGTGTATGTATCTATTTTCATATAAAGATCAGATTGTTGCTGACCCTAGATGGCTCGATCTTTTCTGTAACTGATACTGCCACCGAAAAGTCATCTGCATCACACACTTTCAGGTGTGTTAGATGCCTAGTCCCTCTTTGTTTTGTAGTTTCATCTGCTGTTTCCACCCCCCCCTCCCCCTCCATCATTGTACTGAGAACACAGACTTTTTGTTATACAGAATTCACAATGGCAGCATCCTTCCTCAGCACTACTAAGCAGAGCCTGCATATGTAATGACCAATATGGCTGCACCGATAAAGTAACAAGCGATGCATAGAAATGAGGTTTTGAACACGCACATTGATGATCATTCTCACTCAGCTGATCCTTTTCACACATGTACTGTATATGCAAAATTGTTAGAAACAAAGCTAAAGTTCTTCGTTGGATGAGCAATAAACTTTTGACCTTGTCTGTTTTTGTGGTCGCTGCTCGGCCTCCCCCCACGTCATGATTTTCAGTACAAGAGTTCATGACATTTTGAAAGAATTTCTCCTTCATTGGTGCTCACGGTAGGGAAGTAGTCCAGAGAGCTTTAGACCTGTGTGCATTCACTTTGAGGAACTGAGGAAATCTCCACTTTACAGTCAAAAATAGAGGCAAAAGTGTGAACAATGGCGGGGATGAGGTAATTTGTTTTTCCTCTTCTGCGTCTTAAGACAACAGACATCAGTGTGTGTTTTATGGAGCTTATTCTATGTTGATGTCACTGATCTGAAGGGGATACAAATATACTTTAGTGATTGAAGTCAGATTTGATTTATTAAAGTGGAACTGTAGAGCGGGGAGCGATGGCAGCACTTGTGATAGTATGAGGGTGTGCATAGCTTGCATGCATATTATGGCCATCATACGGGGCGGGGGCTTAGTTGTTGAGTTGCATCATGCATTATAGTCCTTGTTTTTCTGCATCTTCCAGTTGCAACAAAATAGGCAGAGCAAGCTGTCAATCCCGCAGCTGGGTTGATCTCGACAGCAATGTCGGGATCCGTCCCTGCTGCAGCGTCTCAGTATACCGCGAGCTGTAGCTCGCTGTATAGTGAGCTTTGGGACACGGGAGAACGCTAGTTTGTGTTCTCCCGTGAACCTTAGGAGAACTATGGGGAAAAGTCCTGACCCCATAGTTCTCCTTTTTAATGTATACCCAAACTAGTCCTTATGAACACCTAAATGGGACATTGGACAAGGGTCTTATAAACCAACTTGGTGTGGCTTGGGCTTCCTGTTGCATAAGTAAGTCTGTAGTTCATCTCCTACCCACCTCATTAACAGGGAATGTTTGTTACTGCTTTCAGTTTTAGGGAGCTGCTTGTAGGTATATATTTTAATTTCAAATAGCACCTAATGCAATTTTGGACAAATCCCAGGAGCCAGGTCGCCAATGCTCCTCTAAAATGACAGTTGGCACCTAACGTTTGAGGTTTTTCTCTAGTTGTCAATGGAGCTGGCTCCAAAAAAGTCTGCATTGGGCAGACTGGTGCCTGAATTCATATGTCTCCTAATGTCTCATCTGTATGCATTACGGTGGGCTCTTTAGCTGTTGGAACTAGAAGACCAAATGTAACTTGCAGGGCATTCTAGCTCATCCCAATCCAGGTTTGTGAAGTTTTGGCCCTCAAAGCTGAATTGCTCCTCCTTTTAATACTGAACCAGTAAGCTGTGACTTCATTAGCACGCCTGGTGAAATAATTGATTTTCTAGCAGCCACGATTGTCAGTTTTTAATTAGATTTCTCAGATTGTATCTCGTTGTGCATCTTAAGCAGCCTACTGTAAGCTGTAATTTGCTCGTAGATGTTCCAGCAAAACACCCAAAATATTGCAGTTAATGTGGTTCTGAGAATCCAAGGAGTGTTCATGAATATTCTTTATTAAAATGTTCACAAGCAAAAGAAAAGGAATAAATGTAATTTCATGTAATCTGTACGATTTAAGGTAGTTTGCATTTATTTCCAATTATTTGCGCTTTGACTAGATTTCTTTTCAGACCAGGTTCGGACAAATCCTAGGGGCCAGGCAGCCAGTGCTTCTTAAATATTGGCATCTAACTTGAGGTTTTCTCTGGTTGTCTATGGAGCTGGCTCCTATAGAAATCCTGCTGGTTTTTGCATTGGACAGAATGACTCCTGAATTCCATATTCATTTGTCCACCCTGCCTTACAGTATTTGACCGATGTGGTAGGTAGGTGGGCAATGACAGCAACTACAGTAAAATGAAGAACTCTCCAGCATTCCAGTGATAATTCTCATACATTTATTGGTGGAACATCACATTAGTCATATACAGCCAACATTTTGGGGTCCTCCAGGATCCTTTCCCTTTTACACTGTAGTTGCTTTTTGGGCCAAACTTTGGCTTGTGCTGATAACATTTCTTGAAAGCAACAATCTATAGAGACTGCTCTTACAAGAAATTGGACAGTTGTTTTGAACCAGTTTTATCTGTTGTCAGCAATTGGGTTTTGTATTGAGTAATGCAATGTTGTCTTTGTGGATTAACGTGACACTAAACTCAGGAGTTAAATCTTAAAAATACATTCAAGTTCCTCAATTATTAACAAAAATGTATCTAATTTGTGTATCACTCGGCTGTAGATCCTCAAATCATCTCTGAATTGGTGCTGACACTGTCCTTCCTTCTGGAGGGTGGCTACTTTTGTTCCCCATGGTCCCTGTGTGTGTTCGTAGTCACAGCTGTTGTACCATAGTCACCGCTCCAAGCTCACGTCTGTGATGGACTACAGTCTCAATACAAATTACTAAACTAAACGCAAGATTGTAGTCCCATCACAGGAGTGAGCTTGGAGCGGTGGCTACTATGCAACACACACACAGGGACCATGGGGAACAAAAGTAGCCCCCCTCCAGAAGGAAGGACAGTGTCAGCACCAATTCAGAGATGATTTGAGGATCTACAGCCGAGTGATATACAAATGAGATACATTTTTGTTAATCGTTAAAGGAGAACTATGGAGTTAAGGCTTTTCCCCATAGTTCTCCTCCCGTCACCCTAAGCTCAGTATACCGCGAGCTACTGCTCGCGGTATACTGAGACGCTGAAGCGGATCCCGACAATTATGTCTGGATACGCCCAGCTGCGTGAGTGACAGCTGGCTCTGCATATCTAGAGGCAGAGCCACATACAAATGGCAGTTTTCAGGTTAAATCAACCAGATTTTAATCGCAGACACAATCGGTTGGATTAAGGCAATTTTACCATTGGCAATAGATGGTAGTTTGCATTCTGCTCCTCGGTGGTGTTTGCTAATGAAAGCCGATTGACATTGTCTAAAAATTGTTGCGTACCTGCTTATGTGTAAATGGGTACCCAGATAACGTCAAAGTCTGTACTTTTCTAAAAACTCCCTTTTTTAAAGTGCATTTACACTTTTGCAGCCAAATTGGGATGACCCCTATTTTATATTTGTTACATGTCCCCATTCACATCGCATAAGCTAAAAAAATATTTAAAAAATGTTTCTTGCAGTTTAAATTGCTTTTACTTGGGTGAGGGTTTTTTGGCTTTTTAAGGGTTAAAATTTCGACTTGCTGATCCTTCTTTGTAATGTTGGGAGGGGAGGGGTTTGTCATCCCTCTCTGTACTGCGCTGGCTCGTTTCATTATTACCGTATGTTGGGTTATGTTTCTGAAACAGTTATTCTTTAACCATTAACTGTTTTTTGGCTATTGTCTTCTCTTTTATTACATCCCTGCAATGCAGAAAATAATGTAGAGACTTCTGAATGTCGCTGTGCTTTGTTGGTCTTGACACTGAACATTTTAACTTTTTCTAACAGAACTCTTTAAAAAAGAGAAGGTCGGGGAAAGTGGAGAAGAAACCACCTCAGGTAAGAACAGCATTGTGCTTGTGCGGGAGGTTCTGTGAGTTCTTTAGGGACAGTTCCTGTCAAAAGCAACCAGTTAAGTTGCCTGTGTTGTTTTGGGGTTAGAAGGCAAGGTGCCTGTATCTATTAAGCGGGCCTTTTTAAAGGGAATTTCCCAGGGAAGCTGAAGAATCAATGGGGGGAATTTATGAAAACTGGTGCAGACAAAATCTGGAGCAGCTGAGCATGTCAACCAATCGGCATTGGACAAACTGAAGAGAGAAGCTGATTGGTTGCCGTTCACAGCTACCCCAGTTATTGTCTGCTCCAGTTTTGATAATTTCCCCCATTGTCTTTTCAGTATCACTGTGTTTAGTAATACAGCCCCACCAAGGCAAACCCTCTGGTCCCTATATGACAGGGTGCTGTAATATCACTGGTTGGTCTTTAGTCTACTGGATCAAGTACCACTTATGGTGTTGTCTGTCAAACGTCCAAATAGAGGATAGTTATTATTTTTCTTTGAAATCTACTTTAAAGTTGATCTGAACTTGATAGGTAAATATTTTCCTGCCTATAGGGAACACACAGAAATATTAAATGTGCCTGAGCAGTTCCCTGTAAAATGTTCTGTTTCGTCTGCAATTCCTCCAAAGAAATGGCAGTGCTGGTATGTGACCTGCGCCTAGGACTGTTTCGTAGACTCATAGCTGTATATCTGCAAAGTGTGATCATCCAAGGTGATGCTGCCTTATACTGCTAGTCTCATCAGGTTATAAGTGAGATTTGGTGATGTCACTACTGTGTTGCTTATGGTTTTTCTTGCTGGTGGGGAAGCTGTACCAGAGACCTGCAGCGCAAGGATCTCCCTGCTCCTTCATTCTTTCTTTGGATCTGGGCTTCCTCGGCTTCTCCTGCTGCTTCTTGATTGATTATTACTCCACCAGTCATCGGTTTGCCGTTTTTGACATGGGTGTAACAAACTCTTGCTCCTCTATCAAGATGGCCATCTCCACAGAGACCTTGTAAAAAGCAAGGTACTGTATGTTAAGTTAGTAATATGGTAAAGATCCGCTGCAGGGAGCCTACAGGCAATACTGGTGACTAGTCCTATGAGGGTTGTGCCTAAAGAAGGAAAGGTCAAAGTTCAGGTCCTCTTTTTAAGTCGTGAGCATTTAACAAAAAAGTACCAGACTTTATAATTTTGTAGGTTTCAGTTTTATCACATGCTGGTTTCTTGCAACAACCAGCAACTTGGAACAATGGCTTCAGTGCTTTGAGCCACTGGGCAGGAACAAATATGCGCATTATGGGTTCTGATTTCACTGGCTCGCTGAAGGTCTGAAACTGATCAAACCACGGCTAGAGGGACAACCAGTATTTTCAAAAATGTGTTTGGGGGGTTTTTTTGTTTGCTTTTTACAGTAGGTGGCAACTGGGGATGATCACAAATGGTAGTGATGTGTTAATTTTTAGTGTGTTTTGTTTTTTTCCCCATTGTGCATCAATGTGTTTACTGTATGAATCTTGAGACATTTGATTCATGTTTCACTCGATTGCCTAATTAAAAAACATTAGACTTATTCCCCTTAGAGGATTTGTGCCAGTATGAATATGCTCATTTATACACAATCATTAGTATTCCACTCCCGCGCCCCGATCTGCATCTCAGTAGTGCTTTGATTAAGGCTCCTGGCTTCATTAAAAATAAAGGGGGCTTTGAAACGGTTCCCTTGATTACAGTGTGGAGGCATTTGGGAGGGAGAGAATATTCAAAGGGAGCAGGGGGAAGCACAGACAAATGCTATTCTGTGCTGTGTAATAGTATGGCAGATAAACGACACAGGGGAAGGTGTCAGACGCACACAGAGCAGTAGCCAGCTGCAGCAAGCCCCAGTCAAAATATTTGTACTAGTTGGTACAAAGTGCCACTGCTTTTTTTTTTTTTTTTTTTCTTCCACAGCCACGAATACTGGCATTGAGATGCAAGAACAGTATGTTATTCTACTCCTAAGAAGGCAGGGGCTTCCCTGTCCTCCATGATCGGGTAACGCTTATTAGGTTTTTCTTGCTTATGGAGCCCCTGGGAGGTACAAAGAAACCAGAGGGTAAATCAGCCCAGAGGCTCGAACTATAATAACCGTTTTGGATGCACAGAGCAAGTAGAGCCTAGCGGTTCATGACACTGTTTCTAATTGGCTTCAACCCACAAAAATCAACACTTGTGGGTTTTTCATACAAACCTTACTACGGAACTCCAAACAAAATATAGCCACCATTTAAAATGCCTGTTTATACTTTTTAAAAAGTTGTACTTTTGCATAGAAGTAGTATAATTACCTCCATCTGTCTTGGTATCAGCTTCTGACACACCCAGCACAGCAAAACTCTGACTGGGAGAGGGAGGGGAAACACTAAGAGCAAATCGGGCTCTGCTGAATGCACATGTGTTCCTAGGGAACATGCTGGCAGAAACCGATAGCAGAGTTGATAACTTATCGGTGTGTTGCTGCTCCCTTCATTGGACAATCAACAGCTTGTGGCTGAGGGTTTGACATCAGTGTATTCCCTGATGCTGCCTCATCACCTCGTGACCAAGTATCATGGAGCTGGCTTTCCGGGCAATCCGGAAGCCGGGCGCCACGTCTTTAAACGGCGGCCGGTTTCCTGATTGGCCAGAAAGCTGGCTCCATGCTTTCTCATCATCCAATGAAGAGAACCATGGAGGCGGCTTCCCTGCTAATCTGGAAGCCTGGTGGAGAGTCTTTACACGCCGCATGGCTTCCGTAATGTGACTTCTGGTATCGGTATTGGCGAGTACCGGAAAAAAATATCGGTACAGAAAAACTGGTATCTGTGCATCCCTAGTACAAATAGAGAGGCTGAATTTTCTCTGAGGGAGAACAGCCATTGAAGAAAAATTTAAAAGGTAGATTATCCTTCCGTGCTCTATCCAAAGCTAAAACAATGGTTTTGACTTTAAAACACAACTTAATGAATCTTAGTTTGGCTACCTTCCCCTCTCTCCCAGTAAGGCTCCATAGGAAGCTGAAATTAAGCAGAAATCATCAAAAAGGGAGCAGCTAGTGCTGGGCTTTCTCCTAAGAAAACCTAGATTGGTTTGCCGAAATGGTTACATGATTGCAAGCTTTAATGTTTATTTGCAAAGTTACAATTTTATCTAAAACAGTTTAAAAATGTGGTACCCTAAAAAAAAAAAATGAAGATTGCCTCAAAACAATTTCAGTTTCCCTTTTAATAATAATTCATGTTTTCAGAGGCAATGTATGTAACAATTATCAGATCAGAGATCTAAATAAGCCTCCGTCTTTTAATTTACTCACTGTGGTTACCAGAGTTTTAAAGATGGTTGCTATCCTAATTTTGTCTTATTCTAAAATCCTTCTATTTCTCCTTTCCTGATACCTTCCTGGTTTGGAAGAACAGCATTGAAGGGTTCAGAGTTTGTCAGGAGATGACTGCGTCTTTTTTTTGCCGGTTGAAGTCTATTTTATGTTGAAGTCCAAGCCCTCAAGACTCGATATACAACAGACACACTGTGTCTCGAACCCCTTAATAAGTTTGGTTGCCCTCCTCTGGACTTTTTCCAGCTCAAGGACATCCTTCCTGAGTATCTGTGACCAAAACTGGACCGCATACTCCAGATGTGGACGAACCAGTGATCTGTAAAGTGGCAAAATTATAGACTTGTCCCTGCAATACATTCCTTTCTTAATGCAAGACAGGACTCTGCTTGCTTTGTTTACAGCAGTCTGGCACTGCGAGCTGTTCTTCAATCTGCGGTATATAATGACCCCCAAATCCTTCTCCGTTTCAGACTTCCCTAGTGGCACACCCTTAAGTGTATAGTCCATTTGCCTATTTTTAACTCCAAGGTGCATTACCTTACCTTACATTTATCGACATTGAACTTCATCTGCCATACAGTTGCCCACTCCCCGATTTTATCCAGGTCCTCCTGTAATGTTATAATGTCTAAATCTGTGTCTACTACCCTCCCAATTTTTGCATCATCAGCAAACACTGAGACATAGATACTCCCTGCCCGATATCATTAATAAATAGATTAAAAAGCATGGGACCCAGCACAGTACGCCACTCATGACCTCCGCCCAGTCTGAAAAGGTGCCATTTACTGATACTCTTTGTGCACGTTCTTGTAGCCAGTTTTCTATCCACATGCACATTAATTCATCTATGCCCATAGCCCTTAGCTTGTATAACAAGCGTTTATGTGGCACCGTATCAAATGCTTTGGAAAAGTCCAGATATACTACGTCTACCGGCCTCCCTCCATCCAGATCTCTACTTACCTCTTCGTAAAAGGTCAACCTTATTTGTTTTTGAATGCTGATTGAATCGTTTTCTCTGATTTGAATATCCTGTTGACCAGCAGTGACCTCTATAAACATCCCAAAAAAGTGGTGAAGACTGCAATGCAGACTACAAATGGTAGCTGGTGGCACACCCAGGCATTTCAGCTTCATTGCTTTGAGGGAAAAGTTCACCATATTTTTCCTTTTGAATCAGTGCCAGTTAAAAAGTTCAGTGTTTTCAGATTTTATTTTTGTCTCTCTCCCCTGGGATCACAGAAAACCTATTTGATTTCTGAATTTAACAGGGTTATTCACTTAAAGGGTGAAGAGTTTGGAGAAGGCAGGAGAAGTGAACAGTCTAGGCCAAAATAGCTGAACTGTAAAGTGACTTGAATTGGGGAATTGTTCCAAATCGGCGATGTTGTCCTAGATTGTTCACGTCTCCTGCCTTCTCCAAACTCTTCACCCTTTTGTGAATAGACCTTTAAATGTTCAACCAATTAAAATATTCAGTGTTAGATGCTGGAGAATTAAATCGCTTGACGGTTTCTTGTGTGTCTCGGGGTCTCTGTTGGTTACATCTCTGCACCAAGTTTCTGGTTCTGTACACCTGTTGCCGTTATGAGGGGATCACATTCTCGGTTTGATATGTTTGGTTTTTTTGTTTTTTTTTATTATTTGATTTTATATTCTAGAAAATGTAACAGGAATACAAACAATGATGCAGATTAATAAATCTGAGGAAGT